TCTTTGAGTTATTCGTGCTGTTTTTTTCAACTCCGTTGTCAGTTTATTCAAAGAAAGTTCCTCCATCTTCGCCCATCACCATTTTAGCTACCTTGTTTCTTATCAATGTTTTTTTTTGTAACTTGGTCAGTTTTCATTTTGGAACTCAGCGTTTTGCATCTCCAACTGTTTTAAAGTCACCAGTTTCCACCTAATGTATTATAGGAAAAATAATTGATATTTTAGGTAAAAATGTTGGGAGGCTCAAACACACACGACCATTCTCTACATTGCTTGAACCAGAAGTCCCCGAAAACATAATTCTAAAGGTGCTATTGACTTGATATTTTTCCTGGATGTTGGAAACAACCAAAGAAATCCATTTTTGCAAAAAAAAAAAATCCTAATCTAATTAGTTTACAAATGAAGTTATGTGTAATAAAGTGAAATGACTGAGGTAAAAAGTATTTAATACATTTTAGTAGTTCAGCACTTTCTCCTTTTGTCACTGTTATTACACACAACTGATTTTTTCAGATTTCTTTGTTTTGTTTTATTTTTATGTTTGTATTGTTTGGGTTTTTACCAAAATCTGCTTCAACAGCTCCTTTAGAAACATCATTCCCTGGAAAAAACATGACATGTTCAATACTGATTTTCCTCGCTGTATGTAAACAACACTTTTATGTAACTGTTTTGAGGACATTAATTAAGAGCAGACAGCTCTTAGTTATATTAGTGTGAGAACCTGTTCAGAGAACGTTCAGTGTTAGCTGGTTGTGTGCGTTTGTGTAAATAAAATCAGGGGCTAAGGGGTATGCGACTAAGTGCTATGCTAATTTGTCTACATCAGAAAAAAACTTACCATTTAAAAGATTCTCTAATGAACAGCATCAAAATAACCCCACGAAAGAGGAAAACATAAGGATGGTAAACTAATTTGTTTCAACAAAAACATTCATACTGTAGGTTAAACTGAGACACATGTTTTGTAGTAAACTGTTAGCAATATGCTAACTTACCAACACTAAATTACAAATCGCACACTATTTGCACTATAAGTGCGCTAGACTTTTAATACATGGATACTCCTTCTAGCGAATTACTTAACCTTGCTGAAAAAAGGCTGGTAGGCTGATTTTAGCTAGCTGGCCAGCCTGGTTTTAGAGGGGGTTTGGCCATTTCCAGGCTGGAAATGGCTGGAACCAGCCTGGAAATGGCCAACACCCTTCTAAAACCAGGCTGGTCAACCAGCTAAAACCAGCCAACCAGCTTAGGCAGGTTTAAGCTGGATTTTTAAGCAGGGAAGTAGCCAATATCTTTACAAAGATATTAGCCTTTATGCAATAGCGGATATAAAATGTACTTCAAGCTAATGAGCTAATGAGCTAATTCCAAATCGCTAACTATTTGCACTACGGAGTGTGCTAGATTTGTCTGGCACATGAATATTT